GATGGAAAAATGTTCTTAACATTTCTTGCTGCTTTTTTACCTGCTCTCTCTGTTTGACTCTGGTGACGGCCTTTTGTAGCGTCAATTCCGGGTCCATTTGTAACTGTTCAGATAGGCGTTTGTCCCGCAGACTCACCACAAGCCTGTCCCTCACCATCTCATCATGTAGAGCCCCGTAACCGCAGTGCACCGCCAGGCAGTGCAGCGCCGTAATCAAACTGTCGGCCGTCTCGCCTGTTTCTTGAAGCCGCTGATTAAACTTTACTCTCTCAAAGATCACATTCCTGCGATTCTCTTCTGCTTGGGTCTCCAATCCAGAAGCAGTGCAGAATCTGTCGAAGCGTTTAATCCATTTAGGCCAGTCTTCAGCCTTGAAGGTGAACTTTTCCGGTGGGGAGACTTGAAACTGTGCCATGTTGCCGCTTCGTTCAGCTAACTGTGGCTAGGCTAGGTAGCTCCGTAGACGGTCTTCCGGTACTGCGAACTTTAACCTGACAGGCTGGGACCTATCACTATAGTTGACCCATGTCTTCTGAAGCTGCTGGAGCATCCGTGAGCGGTGTTGCTATGTTGTCTCGCTAATGTTTGTTTAGCAGCAGGCTGACCTGCCGGGAAGGTGCCAGTGAGAGATCATGTGACCACCTAGGCGTACTGCGGCGTGCTGCTGCACGCAAGTTACGTAACTCTTGTTCAGTGAATGTGTGGGTTTTCAACCTTTCAACGTGTGTTTTCAGTTGTTTTTGTGAAGTCATTTGCATACTCGATAACGTAAATTTGCACATTGTTAAAACAACAATGACGATATTATCGTTAACGATATATATCGCCCACCCCTACAACAGACATTAAAAGCTTCATTTGGAAACTTCAATAGAAGCTTTAAATGTTATACATGTACATTCAGTACGGCCCTACAGACAACTCACCACACATTAGAGTCATGACACTGTCAAAGGAGTAGAAATAATTACTGTGATAGCCTACTGTACTCTCAATCTATAAATATACAATGATAGTGCCTCATAATATACTATTCATGGTTAGTGTGTGTACAGCGTATTATATATACTATTAAAATTAACCGCATGGTCTTATTGAGAGGAAGTTGTGCACAACTGACGTCTGTTTCCTCAAACTCTTACAGTATTTGGTTTGTACATAGAGGAACCTCTTCAAACATTTGGTTATATGCATTTATAATATAGTCTCATTTAAAGGATAAGGCTGGCAAATGTTTATATTTTTTACAAATCCCATGAAAAGACCCAAACTGTTGTTTAGTATTCAGGTATTTGGTTGGATGACATCAAAAAATGATAGTGAAAATCCTCTTTTGAAGAAGTTGAAATTAATGATCGGCTTGTATTTTTGAAGTTAGGCTTGTTTTAACTTGTTAGCCAGGAAAAGAAAAACAGGCTACCTATTAACTGCTTTGGACTACTGTGATGATGTGTACATGCATGCTGCCTCTTGTCCACTCCACCTTTTAGATTCTGTACACCACAAAACCTGCTCTGGTTCCCATACTCATCATCGTACACTTTATGATTGGTAGTCTGGTTGTCACTAAGTCTACGGACAAAATTTTATGTGTACTTCATGTCTCCTGATGCAGACCTCCAGCAGTCTTCAGTTTCATTACACCAGGTGGCTTTCTTACCAGGTTTCAAGGGTTTGGACTGAGCTGTGATAAAAAGCATTCTCCTACTTTGTTCCCTGGACTTTGAATAATCCGCAGAGCATACTATCTACCATCTTAATAATCTAGTCCCCTTGGAAAAAATCAAAGCCATGTTAAAAGTCCATGTAACTAAGAAATGTAGCTGCTTTATTTGAGCAGGTGTTAGACTCTTTTTGTTTATTTGATAACTGTATTTCCTGTCTATCGTGTTTCATTTCTCTTGAAACTGTAACTGCTTTGCTGTTTTGGCCGGGTCTCCCTTAGAAAAGAGATTTCCATCTCAAGAGACTCCCTGGTTTAATAAAGGTTAAAGGGACAGTTTGCCCCAAAATCAAAAGACATATTTTTCAGACAGACAGACAAACAAACAAACACAAGACTTTATAAAAACTCAACAGCAATGTCTTTCTCCAGAAATTTTGAAGCAGTTACTCAAGATAATCCACAGACTTTGTTGTAAGCAGTTTCATGTAAGAACTCATTTCTTTCTAAGGGACTACACCCGCTAGCCGTATCACCACGCAGAAGGAATCGTACATCTACTCATGGACAAGAGACCCATGCTTGTGACAGTATGAGTGCTGGGATAGCTGTAACATTAGCTAGATCATTAGCTAGCTCAGTGTTGCTAGGTGAGCTAGCAGTAGATGCACACTTCCTTCTTTGTGGTGATGCAGTTGAGGGGTGTAGTTCAGTAGAAAGAAAATAGTTCCTACATGAAACTGCTCACAACACAGTCTGTGGATTATCTTGAGTAACCGCTTCATGAATTCTAGAAAGAGACATTGCTGTTTTTCAAATGAATGGTTTTGGCACTTTGAGAAAGCAGACATTTCTACGGCTGATATCTCCAACACTCAGCAACTTATACCAAAACACTCTAGACTGATAAATAGCACTACAGGTACAGGAGGAAGACCATGTTTTTTTTTTTTATTTTGGAGTGAACTATCCTTTGAATTAAAAAATAAATGAATAAAAACTAACAATGTGTGAATCCATCTCTCAGTAAATATTGATTGTTAGTTCTGTCAGTGGCACTTCGATTTAATGTCTCTCAGACATGTAAATCAAAATTGAAAAAGCGCCCAAACAAGCTGGGCACTGTAGATTGTAGCAAACATTGTTCAAACAAGAGTAAATAGAGCATTTGTTGTTCAGCTGCAGATTAGTACACATTTGGTGCTCTGGAGAGTGAGTACTTACAGCAGTTGGACAGTGTATGTGGGAGTCAGAAATTCAAAATAAACTACAGTGCCCATGTTCATTGTATGAAGGCAGATATCAGCCAGTGCAACAGCGTGGCTCACTGTTTCTAATTGTGTTAGGACTACAACGGAGCTCTATGGCACTGAAGAATAAGCTAAATCAGGCTTTGGCCACTCAGACAATACTTGTTAGTAGGAAAAAAAAATCTTTGTTTTCGTGCTCTTGTCTTTTTCTGGGATGTTTTGACAATAAGAAAAATATAGAAGCCCTCTTTTTTAGGCCCTCTGCAGCAGCTGGCTGTACACTGTGTGTGTGTGTGTGTGTGTGCGGGGTCTAATGAGATGAGAGGTGTCAGAAGGAAAGAAAAAGAGAGGCAGAAGAGCAAGTAGAGACAGAGAAAAGAATTAGAGTGAGAGTGAGAGGGAGTACCTGCATGTTGTTGAACCAGACTGTAGCTGAGAGGTCCCACAGAGTCGGGCCTGCTCACACTGGTATAATGGCTGTGTTTGATGACCTAGAAACATAGACTATCCCAGCACTTATGTAAGACCTAAAAGGCCATTAGAAAAGCTGCACGCACACACAGGCATATACACATGCATACACACCACCACAGCGTCCATTCTCATTTTTTTTAATTTGACATGTTCGATAACGACATGTAAAGTCAGTGTTCTCGTTTTGACACAGGCAGGAGATCAAAGCAGCATCGCTCAGGAGCTTTTTGCTTAATAATCAAAGTGGTCAGCAAACAGCAAAATCTGTGTTGGGTCTCAGGTAGCAGTCGATGCTGAATCCCAGTCGAGCGAGTGTTGAAATTTAACACTCAGACACAGTCTCAGCATGACTGGGAATCAGCAGAATGTAAATGATTCAACAGCACCTCTAAGTGGCTGCATGAGCTCGTCTGACATAAACAGCGGCACAGAGAGTGAGGAGACACAGTTTTAAATGATTATAACTCTGAGTTGTCTCCTTTCTGACTCCGCACTCAGCTGTTATACATGCTGCTTTGAGAAAATAGAGTGGAGGATGTGATTTTCCTTTTAGGGGTTTGTCAGAAGACTGGGTAGAAACTTTTCCCATCTGCAGGACAGAGTCTTATCATAATAAATCTTGTAAGGGAGCTCAAATTCTGCTTTGTTCTCTGGAACAGCAGGACTAAAGCATCAATATGATTTTGCTGCTTTTCTGAAAAAATAATCAGATTGTGATTATTTTTACTGATATTGCAACTGCGATATGATTTACGATCTTAGCAAGAATGATAAGTCTTACATCATTATTCTCATTCCCACTGAAAAATATACTAAAATGATCATGGTGTGTCTTTTGCGGGGATCTGTATGAGGGGTAGGAATCACCAGAGGATCCATGATACGACGTTATCACAATACCATACTATTACTATTTAAAATATGTTGCAATATGCTGAGTATTGCAGTAAAATGCACTGCGATATATTGAGATGTATTATCTTTTTTCAACTGTAAATTTTGTCCCCGAAGGGAAACTTTTTTAACATCTTTTTATCTAGTAAGATAAAGTTTTCAGTCTGTTCATCTCACCTCAGCCATTTTTTTTGCCGCGGTAAAATGTATCTAGTGGACTGAAAATGCAATTGATGAAGTTTAATTTGTATTTGTAATATTAATAATTTAGATAATAAAAAAAATCCATACATGGCACTATGTGATGATATGACATTGCCACACAAAAATATCATAATACTATGCTGTGTCGACTCTGCAGTGGATGACTGTGTGTTTAGATGGCCAGCCGGCTGGACTGCAGTTTGTCAGCGTAGTTATAATTCTGGTCCTAATCTGTGTAGGGCAGGGTTTAGTGCAACGTTGTCGCTGCATCAGTCATATTGCTTCACACAGCAGAGAAGTCCCATGATCCTCAGCTCCTCTCATGTTGTCACACTTAGGTGCTTTGGAGTTTATTGTGGCTCAGTTCCCTTCACTCAGCTCCCTAAGCAGTGCTTAATAATATTCTCTAACAGTGCTTTCCCCAGCAGAGACAGAGCAAGCACTCAGGGTCACTGCATGTAATGTCAATTGATGTGTTTTTGGATGCATTAAATGTCCCTTCTGTGTCTTAACAGCTCTTCAGGGAAGTCCGAATAATGAAGATACTGAATCATCCGAATATAGGTAAGTTCAAACAGGAGCCTGCAGCAGCTTGATGACAGCTTAACGATGATATTCCCACTTAAATTGGATTAGTATTACCAATTAAACCAACACCCAGAAGCAAGCTTAACCAGTATAAGCTACATCGAAGAAATACCATTCTTTTGAAATGTATTTGTATTTCTGCTACTCCATTATTAAGTTAATTAATGTATTTATATATTTTGGAATGGGATGCTGTGATTCCCATTTGTATTTTCAAAATAAGCATTCCAAATTTTCCAATACTGTGGTACTTAAATGAGCAGTGTGTAAGAATTAGGGGGATTAAATAGCATCTAGTGGTGACGATTGCAGCTTGCAACCAGCTAAAATTCCTCATGGTTAGAATTTCTTCAGTGTTCCTTGCTCAGGACGTTTTTAGCGGGAGCCAGTTTATCCACAGAGGTCTCCACCTCTCCAACATAAACAGACTGTGTGATTAAAACAAATAAAAACACTGAATAAAGCAGTTTTACGTAAAAATAATCGGTGGTTTTCCAACATTGCTCATCACGGAGGGCCTGCTAACTATCACCGTAAAGGCCTTTGCACACCGAGTCTGTTTTTTACAGATGTATTTTTTTAATCCACTGAAAAAAAATGTTACGCACAGAAACCTTGCACGCAGATTCGGAAGCGTTTTATTGTTGAGAAAATTCGCAATACGTGACAAAATTACCAATCTGACTGTGACCACTCCCTCCCTGTCTTTCATTTGGCACCGCTGCTGCATGAAGGGGAGAAGCAATCCTCCGTCTCTGTCTTCCACATTCTGTGTGCAGTCCACATCCTCCTCCTCGTCATCATCATCCACCTGAATATTACTATCTGACCTGTTGAAAGTTGCTATCAGAGTTATGAAATGATTCTGTGCACCCCATTTCTCCGGCTTGTTGCAGCTGTGTCCCGCCGCCACATTTTCTTCACTGATTCTTGGTCAAACGTCTCAAAAGGATGTGAAAAACTGTTTCAAAAATTTTAATGGTCAACAAAAGTTTGTCTGTTCTTGGCTACTATAGGAACAGGGTGGACGAGGATAAGGACCTGCTCTATATGTATGGCTCATTCTAAGCTAAAGAAAAAATGTTTCCTATTTTCAGGTGATAATACATTTAAGAAAACATGCTTTTTATATTTCTGCCAACATATGCCCTCTAAATTCTGCACACTGAACCTTTAAAGGCTGAAGACAGACTTAACGAGACCGGTAAATTCATTTAACACCTATAACTTCCATTTGTAAGACGAGTCTTTTCTAAAAAGCTGATTTTTTTTCCTGCAGTGAAATTGTTTGAGGTGATTGAGACCGAGAAGACACTTTATTTGGTGATGGAGTACGCCAGTGGGGGTGAGTGGAGCATTAATGCACTAAACATGTGACATTTGATTTATTTTTGAGTGTATTCCTGCTTGATTTTTCCACAAATCAGTTCTACAGTAACAACAAACCATATACCATACAATATTAGTTGATAGCTGCCTCTAATGTAATATTCATTCATAAATCTGTTAACATTTCAAGTGCAAACATGCCATTTGAATGCTTTTATCTTAATTAACTCACAGCGTGAGTGACTACATGATCATGGTACTCTAGATGTGATATAAAGGTGATATAGAATGAGATTAATGTATTTTTCCTCTCTCTACTCCAGGAGAAGTATTTGACTATCTAGTGGCTCATGGCAGAATGAAGGAGAAGGAGGCCAGGGCCAAGTTCAGACAGGTGAGTCATCAGTATCGCACCTCTGTCGTCATTCCATTTACTGTTTTCAGAGGGAAGACTGCATGCACCAAGATCAAGCTTCGTCACCGACTGCAGAGAAAAGATTGAGCGCAGATAGCTTGGCCTGAGAGAGCAGAGGGGGTTGAGAACAACTTCCTTACAGATGCTGCTCTGACACCTAGTGGTGCTACAAATGCAATAAGGCATCTGTGTACCTGCTGCAGCTCATGAATTCAGCAGCCTCTGTCATGCTTACTTTCACCCTGGAAATGAGCAGAATTAGACCAGTTCTTTGACGTCCACGCTGTTCACATTTAAAATCCCTCATTGATGGTCTTAGATGACTCAGAGGAACTGTGTGTGACACAGTGTGGGCAGCTTGTTTGTCTGCGTGTGCGCCACAGTACAGAGAGATCAACATTCAGGAAGGTGCGTGTGTGTGTGGCTGAGAGCAGGCAGGTGGGCGGCAGCTGTCAAAGAACAGTGTGTTTGCTATTTGATTGATGCTATTCGGGCATATGTTGGTGAATTTCAACTGTCAACTGTCATAGCAACTGTTTACTGTGTGTCACAGGATTGCAGTGACTTTGGTATGAGACATTTGGGCCTGAAAAATGAACTTGAATGAAAAATGCATCATCATAAACCTCAGATGAAGATTACAATAATACAGTGATGCACAAATATTTTTTGTTGTGGATGCAGAAAATGTCCCGCCCCCTGTTCTCCTACAAAGCAATTACATTTTTACAATAATGAGGATGTTAGCACAGGTTAGCCAAAGTAAATTATATTTCCTTGAAAGCATGAAAGCACTCCTGTTTGTTTATTGGCCCACAGTTTGAGATAAACTATATAGGGTGAAACCTTGCACAGCACTAGAGCGCGTCAGGAATGAGCACTAAAACCTAGAAATGAGTTAGCATTTTAGCACTCCCGGTTCCTTCGTCTGAAAGCCAATGGGTTTTTGGTTAGATGCCTGAAATAAAGTCTGTGGTTCATACAAGCTTAAGAGATTTTCACGCGTTTTTGTACGACATAAACATGTCAGTAAAATCCCCACTCGTGAATTTTGAAGCTTTCGTGGGTCTTAAAAAAGCGGTTGCTAACAAGTGGCTAAATGAGACTACAGACTGTCATCATGCTGAACACAGCTTTACAGCCTTGTTGTAGTAGCAATGTTAAGTCATGTGACTGTAGTGTAGTTTGTTTATAGCCTAACATTAGCTTTTTGCATGTAGTGATTGCATTGAAGCCTCAAAAATTATAAAAGTGGTGTTTATTTGTGAAAATTAACTTGTGCAACAAAAATGTGTATGTGTCATAAATGTTTGTTTGTCACAGAGGTTATTTTCTTTCTTTTTTTTAGAGATATTTTTTGGGGCTCTTTGCCTTTATTGGATAGGACATGTGCAATGAGAGGGGGGATGACATGCAGGAAAGGGGTGCCCATAGATTGGAATCAAACCTGCGGCCGCTGCAACAAGGACGTAGACTTTTGTACATGAGGCGCCTGCTCTACCATGTGAGCTAGATGGCGCCCCAACAAAGTTTATTTTTTGCAGTAATCCAAATACCAATGGAAATATCCCATATTCTTTTTGACGAGGGTACCAGGGTAATGCTAACTTTGCATTAGCCTCCAGAAAAACCTCATCCCTGGGGCACTCTGTTTCAGTAATACTTTTATAAAAGTCAAATATTCTCTGGTTTCAGCTTCTCAAATGAGAGAGTTTGCTGCTTTAATTTGTCCTATATAACTGTGAATTGAATTTGGATTTTGGACTTTTTGTCAGACAAAACAAGTGAATTGAATCAGAATCAGAATCTGGTTTATTGCCAGGTTGGTTTTCACATACAGATAAATTGCTCCGGTGTTTTGGTGCATAGACGAAGACATCATGTGGACTCTAAATGGCCACTTTTCCACCGTTTTCAATAAAGAAAATAATCTCCAGATAATGAAAATAATTGTTAGTTTCAGCATTATTGTGCTCTTTGTGACAGTATTTTTGTATGTCTTTTATACATTTTTCATACATTCTTAAACCTGTCACTTTAATTATTTTATTAATTTAAATAGATACCCATTTTGTCTATTTGTTTTATGTTTTTCTTTGATATTAATTTGTTTTTGTTTTTTGTTTGTTAATGGATGGGTCATTTTATTTTGTTTGTGTTTATATATTTTATATTATTTTTTCTTTTTGGTTGTTCTTTTTGTTTTATTTTATTTATTTTTGTGTACTACTGCTTGCTTGCTTGCTTGCTAGTTTGCTTGCTGTGCTCTTCAGAACTGCTTAATGGGTTGCCTGTATAAGATATGAAGTATTTTTGTTTGTATTTGTAAATGATAATAGAAAAATCTTTCTTAATATTTGATATACATGTGGTGTATTACGACGTGTGTGTTTGTATTTCAGATTGTGTCTGCCGTTCAGTATTGTCACCAGAGGAGGATAGTACACAGGGATCTAAAGGTGAGGATCTAAACTCTCAACCTCTCTGATATCTGATTTCTTCTGTAGTATCCATATCTGGCATGTATATCTTGGGAAAACCCTCCTTAATCCATCATGTTCTGTCAGTGCTGATGGTGATTTGCTCCATCTCTCCCCACCTCAGGCGGAGAACCTGTTGTTAGACGCAGATATGAACATCAAGATCGCTGACTTTGGCTTCAGTAACGAGTTCACTGTGGGCAGCAAGCTGGACACTTTCTGTGGCTCCCCGCCGTATGCTGCCCCTGAACTGTTCCAGGGAAAGAAGTACGACGGACCAGAGGTGGATGTCTGGAGCCTCGGGGTCATCCTCTACACACTGGTCAGCGGATCACTGCCCTTCGATGGACAGAATCTAAAGGTATGCAGTTGCTCTGGTTCTAGGACGTATCGCTGGCTATGTTTATGTGAACTGAAGAGTATACTGCTTTACAAAGGTCATACAAAGTTTTAGCTTTAATTGTTGCCATGATCAAAGCAGTTAGCACATCATTGCTTTTCACCTTTTGCGAGCACAAATCGATTAAGAGCTCACTATGCTTTAAATGAAGTGGTTGTTGAATCATCTAAAGGTGTGGTTACATTTCACCTCCGTCCTGCAAATATTCACTCCGTTTCTCATTCACTCCCATTGAGGCCAGTGTGACAGACAAATTCAAGCATGCATTTCCTGTTTTAATGTGATTTCAATCCAGGTCAGAGTTCACTGTTACAACTTTGACAATGTGGATGTGCTCGGTCTGACAATAGATGCACTGTGTTTGGAAATGGAGAGGTTATTTCTATAGGAACTTTCGGCACCATGTCACACATACTAAACTGCTACCACATTAGCACACAACAAACTGCAGCATTGGTCTTAGAGTGTATTTTTTAAACAAAAGACTTGTGTCATTGTACCATAACACTGTCTTAAACCATCCCGACAGACAACCTGACACTCACGACCACTTTACAGAGCAAGGTGTGCAAACGTGTGAAAGTAGGCTGGGTTTGAATTTCTCTTCTGAGCTCTCTTTTTTTTCATTCTTCACACAATAACTGTGTGTGTACAACAACGTGCAACACCACAAAAGGCTTTTGGGTTGTTCAGAAAGAAGATTTATGCCTAAAGACATAATCTGATAACACCTAGTACTGCTTAGCTCATGTGAAACATGTTGACACCTTAAATATGTCCTCCAAAATAAGAATATGACAGGACGCAGCTGCCTCTGTAGCAAGCGAGGAAGAATCAGAAGTCACAGTAGTAAAAGTAATGATAAATTCTCTGAGACATTTTTTATTAATCAAAATATATGAATTATTCTGTTTGAGTATTCTTCGCATAGCCACCAAAGGCCACAGTAAATATAAAGTGCAAAATGAAGTGCTACAGCCTGGTATCTTCCATCTATCTATGCCTCTCATAAGTCTATGAACGCAGATTATTCCAGCAGAGTTGGGATGTTTACTTGTGTCACCTCAAAACAGGGTTACACGAATAACCAAACTATGAGTGGAATTTCCTCAATCGTTTGGAGTAATAGGGATTCATCCACCCTGCTTTAATAATGCAGCAGTTTTGGAATATTTTTTGAAGCTGCAGCTGCAGTTAATCCAGCAGGCCGAGAAAAGAGGAAATGTTCGACACATTTTTAATGCATTTTCATGGCCGAGCTCAGTGATCTGTAACCTTTTTAAAGCTGCACTAATTAATATTTTTATATTAACAATTGATTACTGTGGTTTATGTGAAAGCGGTTGGTCGTGGTGGTGAACCCACAGAGAGCATTTTAAGTGTCTTTCAGAACATCGCTTTAGTTTTATGCCCCACAGCCTTTTGTTTTCAGCCACAGCAGGCTGCTGTTTTTATTTCTGATAAAATAAACCCACTGTACGCTGTAAGCATTAAGCGTCAGACAGAGAAGGCAGTGTCTAGCTAGTGAAGAGTGAATGTAATGAATCATTTAGCAGCTCCCTCAGGAGTTAATAGAGACAAACTCAGATAAAAACAAGAATGAGAACTGGACCTACGTTTATCAGGGGGAAAAAAACGTGTCGAAATGAATGCTAATATTGCACCATGTCTGCTAGATGAGTAAATAGGTAACTGCCAACACAACAACAGCTTTAAGGTCTGGTGTGTAAGAGCTAGGGGAATTTAGTGGCATCTAGTGGTGAGAATTGCAGGTTGCAACCAGCTGAAACTTCTCCCAGTTTGGATTCCTTCAGTTTTAATTGTTCAGGAGGTTTTTACCTGGAGCCTAATTATCCACAGAGGTCTCTTCCTCTCAAAACAGAGGGGCTTGGTTGATTTAAACTGGTAAAAACACTGTTACAAATCAGTGTTTCTCCTTCGCTGTTTGGCACACTGGAGATGAGTCAATAGCCCAGCACATGCTAATCTGTGCTCACCTTTTTTCTCTGATATCTTAAGATCCACATGTTCAGGAGGTTTTTACCAGGAGCCTAATTATCCACAGAAGTCTCTTCCTCGACTAAACAAATGGATGTGGTAATTTAAACTGTTTGAAACACAGAACAACGCAGTGATTAGTGTTTTTCTGACGCTTTCATCGCGGAGGGGCTGCTAACTACTGTGGCCGATGCAAAAACGTGAACGGCCCTATCTAGAGCCAGTGTTTGGTTTGTCCATTCTGGGCTACAGGCCATCTCTGTAGACGAGAACCTGCTTACTATGTAGATATAAATGGCTCATTCTAAGGTAATGAAAATGCTGCGAATCTTATTTTCAGCTGATTATACACTAAAGAAAAGATACTTATTATATTATATTCCATTTCTGCCAATATATCCCTATAAATCATACACACTGGACCTTTAAATCAAATAATGCTGCTTTTTATTTGCCAGTTTTTGTTGCTGATTTCTCATTTTATGTCCGTCTCTCTGTCTGTTGATTTGGAGTGTAGGAGCTGAGGGAGAGGGTCCTGCGGGGAAAGTACCGTATTCCCTTCTACATGTCCACAGACTGTGAAAACCTGCTGAAGAAACTACTCGTGCTCAACCCCGTCAAACGAGGCAGTTTGGAGGTATTAACTGCCATTTGCATTGTTGCGTCTCCACAGTTATTGGCTCTCCATTCAAAAGTGTTTTGCACAGCAGCTGAACAGACAGTCCTAATGATTTGGAGCACGATTGTTGTGAGTCATCTGAAAGCATATAATTGCTGCTGCTGTTAATTATCAAGCAACAGAACACTTCACTTTACAGACTGTCAGATGGGAATTTGGAAACATTATTCATCTGAGATCAAAGAGTGGTCTTACATAATTCTTTGATTAGAGCATTTAGAAATAATAAAGGTAAATTAAAGAGTTTGTTGAAGCACTGTAAGAAATAAAACTATATTAATTCAACAGAGTCCTTACTCGCTGTTCTTTCCCTTCGTCCATGAATCAGGGATGGTGTCGGCTTGTTTCTCCTTTGCAAATATACAGTTGTCAGTTCAACTGACCCCCAGTCTGTCCAGAGTCAATACCAGCCCTGCTCTCAGAACCAGGCAGAAGTTCAATAGTAAAGATTTCTCCACCAATAATAACAATTGATCACACTGTTGTTCAGCCCCAGCTGATTTCATAACTGCCCTCCTCCTAACTGTCATATTAAATATATAACAGATGTGAGTCACAATTAATTATCTGAAACTGCAGTTAACTAATTGTACTGAACATACATGAGCTCACATTGTCTTGTTTCTTTGTTAGCAAATCATGAAAGACCATTGGATGAATGTGGGTCACGAGGAGGAGGAGCTAAAACCTTACATCGAGCCGGAGGCAGACTTCAATGATTCATCCAGGATAGGTGTGTCTCAGTGTCTGTGTGTATGTGTGTGTGTATGGGTATGACTTAAGTTACCTTCGGGGACACATACTAGACTCAAGACCAATTCATCAGGGATGGCTTGTCCAATTGGGGACGAAGGCCGTGTCCCCATTTCTGAAAATGCTGATTTTTGGGTCAGTGGTTGGGGTTATGGTTAGGTTGAGTCTCCATGAAATGCATGTAAGTCTATATAGTTTCCCCGAGAGTGACCTCACTAAACATGTCTGAGTGTGTGTGTGTCTTGATGTCACTATTTATGTCATGTCTAGTACGCTGACTCTGTGATTCACATCTGTCCACCATCAGAGCTCATGGTGACGATGGGCTTCCCTAAAGATGAGATCACAGAGTCTCTACAGAGCCAGAAGTACGATGATGTCATGGCCACCTACCTGCTGCTGGGCAGAAAAGCTCCGGAGGTCAGTTTGTTTTTTGACATGCATCATCTTGACATCATCGCCAGTACTTAATGCATTAAATGACTACTTTGCCCTCCAAATGACCATTTGTATGTCAGTTACTCACCATGTGTTGTGTTGAATACGGGAAGAAAGCTTTGTTTTTCTTGCATGCCTTGGATGAATGAAGAAAATTTTTGGTGAAAGAAAGTAAAAGGGGTTTGTGTTTAACAAGAGCAAAATGATACAAACTCCCATGCAATTTTTGCAGCATAATCCAAGGCTCATTTATCCAGTTGTACGCTCAGTACTTCCCAAACAGACGGCCCTTTCCAACAGGGAACTGATCTTGTGAAGCATAACCATGCTCTCTTTAAAGCCAGGCTCCATTGACAGAAACCGTAATTTTACCTCACTGAACACGGGAGCTGCTGGTCTACCTCTGCCTCAATCAGTTAGTTTGTGTGTGACTTTGGTTTTGTTAAAGGGTTAGTTCAGATGTCATGGGTATGGTAAGAACCCAATAGTAGCACCACAAAAACAAGGACAGTTTGTAATAGGCTCTAATGAAACCACTTGAAACACACAGAACAAACAGGCAGATGAAACTGCAAGCAAGATTAAATCCTAGGCCTGAGGCTTCCTGGACAGGAGCTCAAGCACGGAGCGGGAAAGTCTCTGATGTCCGCTGGACGCACACAAACAGCAAACAGTTCGGTAATGAGCAGCAGTACTGTGAAGAGCTGACTATAGGTGGGTCGAAACTGGCGAGGAGTCGAGGAGCCGGTGGTGATGATGAGCAGATGCTGCGGCGCATACATAAAGGCAGAATGTGCAGCCACGCGATGTGGTAATCCACAGCACAGGAAATCACAGGCAGCAGAGCAGGTAAACTCACAATGTGCCCACTGTGACATCAGATTCACCAAAGTCACACGGTAACACAAACAAACTACTGATCCAGGCAGTGGTAAACTAGCAGTGAGGTAAAATGGTTGTTTTTGATTCTTCGTTCACCCCGGACATATGTGAAAAAAACAGTTTTCTTCACAAATTCAAAGCAACAAAGGTTGAGTCATTGATATACAAATGGTCATTTGAGGGGGGTGGATTATCCCTTTAAGTCATGTGACCATATCCCCTCTACTCTCTCTGTGTTCCAGTTTGAGGGGAGCGAACCTCTGACCAACAGCATCCTGGGCCAGCGACAGCGACCGACCAGTGACATCAACAATAGCTCCAGCATCTCTCCTGCCCATCCCAAGGTCACACGCAGCATCTCGGCCAATCAGAAGCAGCGCCGCTACAGTGATCATGGTGGGGATGATGATGGTGGTGGTGGTGGTGGTGTCGTAGAGAAGCCAAGTAAAGTAACCTCATCCTTCCCAGCTCTGAGAGTGCTGCTGGCTGCGTGCTGTGTAGGGGGAAGTTGCTCTTAGTCACTGAGGATTGGCCAGTGATCACATACCGGTATCCGCCCTGCTGATGTGCCTCTAAACAAGGCACTACAGCACTAAGAAACTCTACAGGTGCTTTTAAATAGCTGAATAAGGCTAATAGAGCTTTAGAAAAGCTAAGTTTTCATCTTTGGAACAATAGATAAAGAACATTTTTGTGATGTTAGAAAGAGGAACACATCAAACCTACATTAATATATATATTTGCTTAAAATTTATTTACATAATCAGTCTATTTAAATGTACAAATCAGTGACTCAACCTCAACACTGCACTAGTTGTGTAGCAGCTTCCTCCTATGTCGTGTGGGGCCATCGTGTCTGGCGCCATCTGCTGGCTGGCTGCCTTTCTGCAGCTCCCTGTGGAACAGCACCTCGAAGCATGAGGAGGGAACAGCTTTGCTTTGTACCTGCTCACCTTGGCTTCTATAAATGTATGACTTATTAAACAATGTGTTGGTGAGTGTTGTATTTGATTGGATGATGTCTAAATCTTGGCTTTGAGTGGCTTTGCTTGACGCTGTCGTAACGAAGGCCCTGTCCTTGTTTGTTCCTTGTCGTCTGATGATCCCTGATATTGGAGCTGTAGAAAAAGTGATATGTTTGGGGGAAATTTTAAAAGTATCTTCCCATGTGTGCGTCTCTTATAGTTGGTCCATCTGTGCCCCCGGCGGTGTCGTACACGAAGCGCGGCCAGGCCCTGAGTGTGGAAAGTGACCACAGGGAGGAGTGGGACGGAGCGCGCCGGCTGGAGCTCAGCACCTCGAAAGGAGATGTACCTGCTTCACCACTGGGAGTGCAGGAGAGGAAGAAAACTACAAGTGTTGTGGGGGTGAGGAAACAATTGCTCAAAAATGTCCACCATGTAAAGAAAAAAAAAGATATTTAAGGGAAAGTAAACAGTTCAAAGGTTTTTTGCCTCATTATTTTTTCACTTCTTAGGTAACCGGGTGTCACCAATACTCAGTCTTACAAGCTTTAACATGTTGTCTCTCTTTCCAACAAACAGACCAATGGATCAATGACTCGCAGGAACACGTATGTGTGTGAACGATCCTCTACTGACCGCTATTCAGCTATTCCCAATGGCAAAGACAGCAGGTAAACAAACAGACACACAGCCTTTTTTCAGTCTCGTCCAGGCCATGTTTCTGTCTAATTCTGTAACACGTGATATTGTACAAATGACCATGTTTTGGTGAAATAAATTAATTCTTGGCCCCTAGTTTAACCGAGGTGTCAGGGAGCACCCCATCGACTGCAATGAGCTCCACACGACCTCGCCACACCAAGTCCATGTCATCATCAGGGCATCCTTCAAAGAGCACACTGCCCCCCATTGACGACAACACAGAGCTGAAAGCCAGGTGAGCAGCCTGATCATCGCCTGGCCATCTATAATAACTGTGGCCATCATGACTGTGTATTTTTTCTGTGAAAGTGTATTTGTGGCAAAGATAGTGACACTGATAGTGTGAGTTAAATTGCAGCACATGTACAGCAGGCATGTTGATCCACAGAGTCTTTTGACACATGTAGTGATTTCTCCTGTCATGTTTACACTGCAGCTCCTCTCCACGGGGTCCCTCCACCTCTCCGTCTGCACACAGTATTAGCACCCCAGAGAAGAACCGTTTCCCTCGTGGTACCACCAGTCGCAGCACTTTCCATGGAGCTCAGCTCAGAGACCGACGCAGTGCCACCTACAACGGCCCCCCGGCTTCGCCCACATTGTCCCACGACACAGGGGCTCTCGCTCAGCAACGCAGGGGCACATCCACTGGGATCATCAGCAAGATCACCTCCAAGTTTGTCCGTAGGTCAGTGAAGACAAACGACTGCACAAATGAGATAAACTACCTAGTACTTAACACTTCTTGCACCTAAGGTATTCTTTGGCAGGGAACTTAACTTTCACAAAACCCTCAGGAATAAAACCCAAAGTGTGCAACTTAACACTGCCAGGGTGAATAAAACACTGTGCCTCAGTTTCAAAGGAATTGTTCTGTAATCAGACAAACTCATGGATGTCATTTTATGTATTTGCATGCTATCTGAAGGTATGACTGATCTTTGCTTAATTTCTAGTCACACAAAATGACAGTTTGCCCAATTAGCTCTGATCAAATTAGTAAAAAAAACACTTTATGCTTCTTCAAAGATGGATGACTAGTCCAACTAAACACTAAAAGGGTAATTAACATTTTTACTGTTTGTCATCTGCTTTCATTTTTACACGCACCCACATTATGAATCTTACTATGCGTAATATCTTATTCTTAATAGGGCTGCAACCAACATTTTTTTCCATTGTTTATTAGCCTGATCTGTCTATTATTTTCTGAATTAATCAAATAGTTGTTTGGACTATGAAGTGCCAGAAATGGTGTAAAATTTCGATCGGTGTTTCCAAAAGCCCAAGATGACGTCCTCAAATGTCTTGTTTTGTCCACAACCCAAAGATATTGGGTTTACTGTCATAGAGGAGTAAATAAAACAGGAAATATTCACATTTAAGAAGCTGGAATCAGATAATTTTTACTTTTTTTTCCTAAATAAAAATATGACTATGATTAATCTATTATTGAATTAGTTTGGAGTCAATAGTTGACAGTTAATCTATTAATTAATTAACTGTTGCATCTGTAATTCTGAATATCACACAGTCATGCTTCTAGCAGCTCTGTGACACTGCACTTTTTTTTATCATTTTAATAATACACAAACACAGACATAAGAAATACAGGGCAGAAAAATAAGGCAAGGAAAACAAATAGATAAGCATTAAGTAGTAGTAGTAATAATAATGAGCAATGTGATGTGTTTACACTGCAACATTTTGAGCTAAATGCTCACGTCAGTATGCTTACATGCTGATGTGTAGCAGGTAAAATAATAATACCAATGTCACTCCTGGTGTAGTTTAACATGTTAGCATTGCTGGCATTTCTTGCTAATTAGCACAAAAGACAGTGCAAGTACAAATGAGCCTAGTAGGAATAGTTTTGCAGGTATTTAATCAAGAAATGCAACGGTATGAGATTTTCATGATGTGATAACTGTCTCAAAAAATATCACAGCATCACAGTATACAGTATTCCATAGTTATTATTATTATTAGTTATAATGACTAAATGGCATGAAAACAAACATTTTTCAGCAAAAGCTTTTTTACAATTAAAACTTGAAACCATGTTTTAAATGAAAGTATGTGTAAGAGGAAAGGAGATGCACACATGATTCTCCCACCACTTGCATTTTTTTCAGTATCGTAGATAAGCAAATGTACAGGGTATGGTAACAACCAGTTTTCAAACCACTGTACACTGTAGAGCCAGTAGGCCCAGTACGGGACAAATTAAATGGCTAAAAATGACTTATGCTAAGCTATTAAGTAGTATTACATGAGTAGTATGAAATTCTCAATAGTATCGTGTGGCTGTCAGTCCCTTACATGCTCAGAGTTAAGTTAAGTGAAGATATTCTATTCACCTTCAGAGTGCATGCAGAGACATAAAAAATCATCCATGTATTTGTACGTCTCTGGTTAAGCTTAAAAAATAGTAAAATTCCCCCAAAACAAACTATTTGAAGAGATTTAAGGAGTTGTGAAAGCAAGAAAGCATCACACGCTCTCCCTGCCTCTTTAGCATAGATGCACTCTCTGATCTACTCCCAGTCCTTAGTGCTCATTATACATCCACGCTGTTACCCTTTGTTGTCAACATGACAAGCAAAGGAAAGGACCACATCATGCAGATAGCTCCTTGTGTCACCTTCACGCTGGCCCATCTGCTAGAGGCTCACAGCTTTCTCTCCTTCTCTCCCCGCATAGAGCTCTGTCTTTCAGGTCGACCCGGAGGTAGGAGAACACAACGCTCGCTGCACCTGTCCCCCCTGTCCAAAAAAATAAAAGACTGTCCCCACTATGACCTTGGCCCATGTTTCCTTAACCCCTTACGTATTTGCCCACTACACTAGATCCTTGCCTACTGACACCCTTGTTATGCCGTGTACTACCTTCCCTTGTGTCCACCGCCTCGAGAACAAACCTCACGGCTCACCAGCTTTCCCTGTACTAAGCTCTGCCACGATATCTGCTTCTCAAGCCGCTGGCTTTCCTCTCCTTACTCTCCCCCCATCTTCACACTGAGCTTAAGAGAAAAGATCAGGTATAATATGGAGGCCGAATGAAAGATTTAGAGCCCCTTTTCCACTCCTTGCAGATCAGTGGGGATTAAGAAAAGGTAGCGTACAGTAGATGGGATGATGCATTTGGTTATTGTGGAGGAGCTACATTATTATGTGATTCGAGAAGTCACAGTCACCTCATTGTGTGCTGAACCCTGATACCCAGGAGTGTGGATTCTTCCCTGGCATGATGCCTGACACCCCTCTCTGTGTCCAGTGATGATGGGGCTGGTGTTTGTAACGGGTGGGGTGCTCATGTTGACATCAGCTTGTTTGTGGGAGTAACAGTGTATTCTTGGTTTATTTCAGGGTGCCTAGTGAGGGAGAGGCAAGTGCCAGGACAGAAACACCAAGGTGAGAATTTGATTGAGATGTAGATTTCATAAAAAGACTGTCACCGACCTCCTTCAACGCCTCTTTCCATCGCTCTTTCTCTCTTCTTTCTGTCTCCTGTTGTTGTTGTAGAAGTGCGTCAGGTGATGCTAAGGACGAAGGCGGTCGGGACTCCAAACCTCGCTCGCTTCGCTTCACTTGGAGCATGAAGACCACCTCCTCCAAGGAACCCCCCGAGATGATGAGGGAGATCCGAAAGGTTCTTGACGCCAACAGCTGCGATTATGAGCAGCGCGAACGCTTCCTGCTTTTCTGTGTCCATGGCGACGCTCGCCAGGACAACCTGGTCCAATGGGAGATAGAAGTGTGCAAGCTGCCCCGCCTTTCACTCAACGGCGTGCGCTTCAAGAGGATATCGGGCACGTCCATCGCCTTTAAGAATATCGCCTGCAAAATTGCCAATGAGCTCAAACTGTGACGGCAGATGGAGTCCCAGTCGGTTTTTTGGTGAGCTCTGGTTATGGTCTCATCTCATCACTGGATTAGTGTTGACTTACAGGACAAAAATTCAGCACTGAAGGTCCTCACCTCGCAGAATCAGGGTGGACTCGGCTGGTAATGTGCAATACTGGCCACGAATGTACTGTACAGGGTAGTGGATCAGAGAGATACTGCAAGGTTTAACCTCTGTGACAGAGAGATAGCAAAAACAGCTAAACCCTTCACCCCTTTCTTTTTTTCCTCTTCCGTCCAGTCCTCTGTCTCTCTCATCAGCCTGCTGCTCCTTGTCATAGCACACATTCATGTAACACATGCAGTATGCAACTGAAGATGACCATCCCGCAATAATGTTTTCAATCTCTTTTTCTAAACGCCTACTACAAGATCTACTCCTCGCTGAATAACCATTAAAATTACTGAAAGCTAAAATAGCCGCTTTTCCACCTGTGTTAAGTCAGTATATAGATCAGGCTGGAGCCCATACTAAAACTATGTAAAAAGAGAATTGTACTGTATGCATAACATCTGCAGGTACTGTATTGTATATTGATTTTGCGTTCTGTACAGAATTTTATTGTCAATACTGTCTTTTTTCATGGGATTTCAGTTCTTTCCTAATATAATTGATGTCTCTTAAAGCATTATCCTTTCAGTCTGTGAGTTTTTCTTTTTTTAATTCTTTTTTTTAAGAGCCACCATATGAAAATAGTGTTTTTAATTTTATTTAAAGAGCACTAAATTATTTTGTGGAGTATTAAGGGATGTGTTCCCTTGCCTTTTATGTTATATTTTATTTGCCTATGGAAAAAAACACTAAGTTGCACCACATAGACTTGAGTAGTGACTTCAGTTAAAACTGAAAATGTGTTCACTTTATTTTCTCTCAGCAGTAGGTAGGTGATTCGGAGATCCTGCTGCAATTGCACAAGTTTTCCAGGGTGATGTGTATGAACATGGGAGTATGCACCTGTATTTCTTTCATGTTAGTTTGGTAGTCCTCAATTACAAAAAAATGCAGGGGTTAAATCGGCCTACTTTAGAAAGCGGAGGACGGGACGTCTTTATCCAAAGGACTGAAGATGCATGAAAAGTCAAACAATCACCCCAAAAGAAGCAGTTTGTCTCATGGAGCCTTTCTAAAGAGTCTGATTTAGTCCTGCCACCAGTGTGATTGTGCAGGTACTTGTGTATCTCCTTGCTTGTGTTTTTCTTTTCTTTTTTTTTTTAATTCAGCGGATTTTATTGTATTTATTCCATTACATTGTAATGTGCTGCTTTGTAGAATTGAGGCGTGCACTTTGTCGGAGAAAATAAAAAGGATTTTATTTGTTTGTATTTATTTTTTATTTTATTTCTCAGATCTGAAACCAGAGTTACACAACTAACTTCAAGATGACAGTTTCCCTCAAGCGATGAAGTAGATGTGTTAGTGCGTGTTGTCTTGCTTTTAGGACCGGGTGTCGGCGTTTCACACTGAAGCAATGTCATGCTACACAGTGCCAGCAGGGAGCTCAGATGACAGTTAATAATGTAAACCTTTATTGACTCTAAGTAGCATGGCATTAGTCAATAACTTAATCCTAATCATGACACAATCAATGTATTTTGCATACGTATTAGTCAAAGGTAAAGCATTATGAACAATATCCTCAGTTTTTTCATTTCAGTTCCTTTAAGTGTGTGAAAATAGCTCCTGTGTGTGCCCAAAATGTTTTCCATACTTCTTATGAAAAACTGTAATTTCAATACTTTAAACATTATACAAACCATTAAAGATAAAAATGTGAGTTGCGAGGATTTACAGGTAGATTCTCACACAACATTTCTGTTGATATTTTCCCAAATTATAAACATAAATCATTCTCCTTAACAAATATGTATCGAACTGGTGTGGTCCCTTCTTAAACTTACAAAAGCTTCATTTACAAATCTTTTTTAGCGTACAAGTGGAAAGACAGAAAAATGTAAACATTTCGATTTGGCAGATTTGTTCAGTTAAACATGTTAATAGGATAAAAAGTACCGTTACTTTCTGTAGATAAATATATGAGATTACAAATGTATAAACATTGCTGAGTCACATGAAAAGCTGAAAACACAAAAAAATAACCTACTGGCGAGATTTAATGGATTAATGAGCATGGATGTTGCATTCGTCAGGATGGGACGGCCTGTGTGAGGCCCTGGTCATGCATTAATGTCTTGACAACATGTTGGGTTTAATCCTAACTTAAGGTGCATGCATTGAACTCAACATGCATCTCAGTCAAATGCAATTTGGTTGAGATACATGTATTTATCATAACATGTATCATGCACTGATTTCAGTGGAAGATTTTTTAAAAAAAGAGTAATGCCTGCCTTGCTTAAGTTAGGATCACCCTACTGTTGTTGAAGTGTTGTCTCAATCTGTTGCAGACACCACTCAGAGAACCAGTCATGAAAACAATCACTCAATTGCTCAGATCGATGACCAGGTGCTCATAAATCTGAGTTTTCCCTTTGAAACTGGAGGCCAGCAGGAACTGCCGGTTGTCTATGGAGACTGGAGAGAAGGCCCTCGGCGCCTGGATGTTCACCTCCTGGAAATGGACAAACTCGCCCTTCTTTGCATCCCAGCGGTACACCTGGGTGAAAGAGTAATCGCTGCCCAGGATTGCGTACTGCCAGGTGCCCACAGAGAAGGGCTGGAAAACCATGGAGCCACGGGAGGGCATGGTCTGCAGCTCTCTAAAGAGGGCCCCATCCCAGCGCATCACTTTGGAGTCGCCGATGAAGCGTGTTAGACAGATATAGAGGTCGGATTTGACCTGAAAATGCTTCACGGCGTAGACGTCCTCCATCTCTGGGATGTCGGTGCGCCTGTCAAACAGCTTGGTGCTTTTGTTCCACTGGTAGATGACCGGCCTCTGGGAGCTGCTGGACAGGATCAGGTGAGGTTTGGAGGAGATCTCCATGTACTCCACATCAGTGTCCCGGTACCACGGGTGGAGTGACTGGTGGGAGTAGAAGCCATTGCCGTTCCACTTGTAGATGGTGGTGGAGCCAGCCTTGGAGCTGTCTGCTATGACGAAGAAGGACTCTCCATCGATGCGAAACGTCTCAACATCGTTTGGTTTGCGGATTTTGAGGATGTCAATGCCTTGGAGTTTGATGAATTTGTTGGCAGAGGTGTCACGTTTATAGATGTGGGAGCCACCAAACAGCTGAGCCACAATGACAAAGAGCTGGTTGTCAATGACCAGAGGTTTGCAAATCACTGTGGAAGTGCCTGGTGAAGAGAGAGAAATGAGAAAAACAAGTTTGACTTCTTGGATACATGTCTCCATCTAGTGGCACCTCTTTCATTCTCACCCCTTAAACACATCACTCATTCACACAGCATATTTGAAATTACTTTTACCAGAGGTGGGAACAAGTCATTATTTTGCAAGTCACAAGTTAGTCTCAAGTCTTTGCACTCAAGCCCTGAGTCAAGACAGATGTCCCAAGTCCTCAACTTTGAGTTTCAAGTCCTAAACAAGTCACCAAATAATGTCATCTTAACAACATAACAATAATAGTATTATTAAATGCTTTTTAAAGTTTATATATTCATTTGCTGAAACAAGTTTGTTAAAAAGCTACTTAGCTGTGAAGCTAACATTAGCTAAGCATTAGCTCTCTATGTTAATATTAGCCTTGACTTACTGTTCTTTGTGTAACGTCAAATGTCAAACAAGTTGGAAGCTGTTGCGCCTTTGTCTGTATAATCTGACCCACACATTTTGCACACTGCAATTCTTTATTCGTTGACCACAGCTTTGGTCTATTTTTTTCCAACTCGCGCTCAGTAGTGTAACATATTGTTATTTCTTCATGGTTTTCTCCTGCAACTGGACGAGATGCTGTCAGATTGGTTCAAAGTGGATCATCTAATGTGTCGAATTATGTGTCGACTTGGTGAGAGTGAATGGATCACTAAGTGTGCCTACTGGGCACAGGCTCTGGGGCCCAAAGTGTCAGGGGGATCCTTGGCCTTCCCCTGCAAAATATCACTCAAATTAACATATACCATTTAGGTAGAATCTCAAAAAGACCACAAAGACATGCAAAGGAACTGCAAAGAAACATAAAATAACTACAAAAACTAGCAAAACAACCACACGGAGACACAAAATGACTACAAAGCCACACAAAATGACCAAAAAAGACACTCAAACTACTCCAAAAATACATAAAACAACCACAAAGATACACAACATGATGACAAATCCACACAAAACAACCAAAAACGGCCACAAAGTTTACCTTTGAGACCCAAACTACTACAAAAAGACATAAAACACCCCACAAGGAGACACAAAATGACTACAAAGAGACACAAAACAAACAAAGTCCGTGTCTTGCTCCTGTGTAGGAGAGGCGGTGGGGCCCTTTGAATATTTGTGCCCAGATGCCCACTGTCTTCTAATCCATGATTCAAGGCACATGTTTTAAATAACATACTTGTCAGTCTTGGGGTTTGGGGGTATCATGCATTTTTCAAGTCAAAAGGCGCAAGTTCAAGTGAAGTCACAAGTCACTGGTGTTAAAAGTCCAGCTCGAGTTCCAAGTCTTCCTTGATTCGTCAAGTTGAGTACAGTCATCAAATCCGCGACTCAAGTCTGACTCAATTCCAAGTCATGTGACTCGAATCATGACCTCTGACTTAAACTTACTGTCAATGTCGTCATAATTTCTGAAGACCATCTCCACGTGATCCCACTCTAGAAAGCTGCATTTCCCGATGAAGGGCTGGGCAAACACCACATACTGGTCATTCCCAAAAGAAAATGCCTCCACAGATATGGATTCAAACTTCAGGGACTGATAGGAAGCAAACTCTGTGAGAGAAACAACAAAAACATGCTTTAATAACACTGAAAAAGTCAGAAGAAGCTGTGGTGACTGTAAGAAAAGTGAAGTTAAGTTGAAAGTATCTTCTGTACTCCACCTGTGGTGATGCAGTCGAAGGATTGCGGCACCAGATCATTGATCTTCTTGTCCAGCTGTGAGGCCGGGCCTTTACAGTAAATCTGATCCACTGTAGCATTGGTGCTGTATATCCACTCCACCAACCACTTCAGCTTACAGTCACAGGTGAACTGATTCCCTCGCAAGTCTCTGCAGGGGAGAAAACCATCAATCTGACTTCAAACAGGAATGCTCTAAGCTTTTCGAATGAAGTTTTATTTTCAAGCGCTGCAGTCACCGAGTGTAACTGCTGGCTTTGCTCTCTGGCCCTCACAGCTTCACTCCCTGCTCTCATTAATATCAAGAGGGACCATAAAGGAGAACTGAACATCTTCAGCGGGTGATAGATTGCAAACTATCTCTCTTCCTCGCTGCTGCATGTAATTTTAATGGCGTCAAAAGCACCGCCCACACATTTTTCAAGCCTTGGCTGAAGCGGAAAAATGATACAGAGTTCTATATATAGAAGATCTCATTGTTCTCGATAGCATACATTATACTTGTAGTTATGTAACATTATGTAATTTATCTTTGTTTCCAGATGATGCAGGTTGAAATTCATACTGTACTCACACTTTCGTCAAGGCCTCAAGACCCTTAAACAAATCTTTGGGCAGAGTTTCCAGATTATTGTAGGCCAGACTCCTGAAAAAGAAGAAAACCGATCAGTGTTATTGTTCTTGTTTGATCGTCTATTCAATGGACCTCCTGCCATCCTTCCATCTTCATACTATAAATGCAAATTTTCTGAATCTGTATGTTCATTTGCAAGAAGAACTTTCAATAGCTTGTAAAAGAAAATTATGTGGTTATGCAGCGTTTTCTTGCAGAATGATATGAGGATATCTGTTAAAGAGCTTGGGCACATATTGCCACCCTGGAGACAGAAGGCAGGAACATTGCTTATTGTGAGTTTGAGGAAACATTAAGCTATTTTTAGAGCTGCCTCCTCAGCCATTTTATGGCTCTCTCTGCTACAAAAAAGAGGAAAAATATTACATTTCTCTGTTGAGGAAGTTATTGCACTTCCTTCTTTTTTTTCTTAAGAACTTTGTCTTAAATACTGACATCAGCTTGTGTTTGTGCTCAACAGAAATCCTGGTTGGCTAACTTAACTTTTAATGGGTAATTTTCTGTATGTTTTGCTGACGTTTAGGAACTGAAGAGATTTTACTGCCTTTACTAAATCTAAAACAAAATGTATATATAATGGGCCTCATGGGTCTAAGCTTTAGTGGATTTTTTTTTCCTTAACCTATAAAGTAAATGTTAAATGCAAAGTAATGGCTGTAGAACAATTAGTGTTTAGATTGGTTCCCTATGAGACTGGCCTTGGCAATTCTGTCTGCCACTGGGTACAATTGCCCGGGAAAATGAAGGCTCAAATTACGGCACAAACAAAGTACGTCCACCAATGCACAACCAAAACAGAAGGAGGATAGCGCTTTTGTTTTCCCCAGTTACAAAAGAGTGTCAAAGTAAGGGCCCTAAAACAACAAGTTGACAGTCGGCTGTCGGTCAATGTCGGGCTGTCGGTGAGCATCTTTCACCCTACTCTTTGTGTTGTGTCTTGCACCATTGGCCTTCATCTGT